CCACCCTTATTCATCATCTTCCTGCCATAGAGATACCCCTAAGGACCTATCAACAGATATCCTACTTCGCTGGCCTATTCATCCACCCTTCCTGGCCGGTAGCCATTGCTACCTCCAACTTCAGAGGTAGGTACATCTCATCGAGAGAAATCCTCGGCCAAAGTTGGAAGTACAGTCCGCGCCCGACGAATATCCGATGCTTTGTCCAGCACCCTGGCAGTTATCCTGGACAAAAAAGGTGCAAACGCAGTCAGAGCCCGATGGCGCATCGCAGTTGGCAATATTGGCGCTATTATCACCCGTAAACTGGTACCCATAGCAACTATCATCGGTGAAAGGGAAGCTGTATCAACAGGAGTCAGTATGTAGTTACTCATTCAGGGAGGAATCTGCTGATTGCTCATTCAAGGCACATTTCGGGAGCGATCGAGCCCAGCAGATACCGGAAAGTGGAATAAATAGCTCGTGAACAAACGTACATGGAGACAAGATAGTCGGTGCAACCTCCATCGGTGTAGTAGTTGATTTTGAAGCCGTTGTCCCGCGGTGCTAGCTCATCCAAGGCAGCATCACGCTCTGTCAAGTTGATGGGCTCTGCTGGCTCAGCTAGCACTGCTGCGAGGGCGCAGGCGGCGAAAGGGATGGCAGAGAGGAAGAAGCGCATGATGGCAGCTTAAGTTTGTATGTATGAGACTTGTGGTGTATGAACTTCTTAGATTTTGGAGGTTGATTTGGTGCCTGTTCGTTGATCGACAAAAGAGGCGGACGAAAGGCAATATATACTTGAGGTCTTTTGGCTTCGCGGCCTGGAAGTCTCGCTGAATATTTCCATGACGATACGAGCCATCAGTAGTAACCTAATGGCTGTTACCAATCTTGGCATGGGGTTGCAGAAGCGCGGCAGCCTGATTACTCATGTTACTCCATGGATGCGAATAGCTTATCCAATCGTAAGACCTCATGCCAGGATAGTATTGTAAGTGTGAGTACTATCACAGAAAGTATATCATGAGACTATCATTAAGTCGATGATTGAAATTCGCTCTACTAGTCATATACATCTTATTCCCGGCCCATCCACACTACTCTATTCAAACTGCGGTCAGAGAATGACGAGTCCGGTTCCCACGCCTGCCACCCTAAGACAATGATTTGTTACAGTTCACGAGCCTTTGAAGTTAGGCCAACGAATACAGCGGTGAGCTTGAGAATATCCCTTAGTAATGGACCAGAGAAAGAAGGATCTAGATAGGAGAAATTCTGCGAGATATGGTCGAGACTATGGGCGTAGTGGTGGGTGAAGGGCATGGTAAAGACATAAACGTTGACTATAAAGTCACCTCTATCCCATTTATTCGCCCTGTCTGATATAATAGTTTGACGGGACATAGGATCACAGAGCCTCTCGCAGTTGGCATATATACTCCACAAGTTTTGCTCAACTCGACTCAACCGCCTTACGAGTTCTAAAGTTTCGGATACTATCTCAAAGATGAAGACTTTCAACACCATCCTTGCGTCTTTCCTACTAGCCGCGGCGAGCGCTTCCCCGACTCTTAGTCCCATCACAAATGGCACCGATGATCCAGATATTGCAGCCCAATGGAACTTTCAAGCATTCTCAGACGGTGGATGTAACAACGGAATCGTCAACATCGTCGGCACTACTGCGTCCGGATGCCAGACCCTACCGCAGATAGCTCAATCCTACAGGTTCCTCTCCAATGTCGACCCTCAAACCGGTGCCTCGTTCGCTGTGAGTCTGTACTCGTCGCAGCAATGCAACAACTTAATCTTTACGGACAATGGGAAGAACGGCGCCTGCAATACTATTCTGTTCGAGAGTTGGCAGGTGCTCATCACCGCCGGATGAACGGCAGTGCTAATCTAGCTCCGAGATATTTGTGCCTGGAGGAGGCGAAAGAGGGAGATTTTGGATTAAGGTTTGGTTGTTTACCTTTGTAGAAGACGGGCTAGAAGGGTACAGCAGAAAGTGTCTCGCCGAGAAGAAATATCACATTCGTTTACTTTCACTATAATTGCCTTGTTCCAAGACTACATGTATGTTGTGACTTAAACTTAGGTTAAAATTTTGAGCTCACAAAACCAGTTGCTACCTAAGTCAATATGTGCTCAGCTTTCTTCATCGGAGAGTCGGGATTGGATCGTTGACTGATTGATTTTATGATTAATAAACTAGATATTTAATACGGTATAGATATCTATCTGCATACGTAGATCCTAGTATATACGTAATACACCTACTTACACCTACTTACATATAAGGTAACTCAATGCGAAGACCTGTCAATGACAACACCACCTTTGTCAAAAATAGAGCACAGTATGCGACTTATCACTAATATTCTACATTCTCTAGTCTGACTATTCTTTCATTGAAGCCATTCGCTTCGCTGAATAATAAAACGAAATTGTGGTGTTACCTATTAGAAACGAACCGCTGTTCGAAAGGTGAGATTTAGCAGTTATAGCCTTGATGACGATTAGTACACAACGAACAAAAGCAAAGAAAACCTATACAATACAGATTATGCTAAGTTACTGAGTGAGTGATATGTATCAGTTTCTCTTACCTTTTACATTTACTAAACATAGCGGAAACGCGGCAAAGCCACACGAACTCGAGACTCAGGTGTTACGACGTCGTATGAGTACCTAACTTCGTCTATATTGGGAACGAGTCTAGCCCGAATACACCTTTCTCACCTCATTTTATAGTCTATAGCTTACTCATGCTCAGTCAATTGAACCTATGAGATGTTCGTATTAGTCAGAGGTTGACGCCATCAGAAAGGAGGGCAATTGGTTGCGACAGATCTTTGCCGGAAACTATCTTTGTAAGCAGGTAGCCCGGGAATATTGATTATACATAGTATCACCGGATGAATTAAAAAAGAAGTCATCCACCATTCCCCGTTTCTCTCGGAAACGATCGCCGGTCACCTAGCCGCCGGCCCTCAGCCTCGGTGAGATGACGCGGTCTCAGAAACACGGATATTTAATATCCTTTGCTCGTGTTCCCGAGGCTACAAACTAATCGTGGACTCACTCCAAGGTCTAGAACTTGCTTAGATTTATCATGGCACCTCTGAAATACTCCCTCCTCATCGCGGCTAGTGCGTCAATATTGCACATTGCTCCGGCAGCCGCCGAACCGGCCCTGAACGTTGTTCAAATTGAAACAACTCCGAATGGGTTCACCAGTGCACCTAGGGGATGGAACTCCTTTGGTATACAGGCCAACCCTCAGACTACGCCCGGGTTCTCGTTCAATCAGAACGGCGTGATCAGCCAATGTGATGTACTTGCCAATACTGCTGCTCTCAAGGAGGCTGGTTACGTATATTGCAGTCTCGACTCCGGTTGGTCGGTAGGCGGCAATGGAGATCAATTTGGGCGTATCATCTACGACTCATCCAATTTCGATATTCCAAGCCTGGCAGACCACCTACACGGCGAGGGTCTACAGCTAGGCGTTTATGTTGTGCCTGGTGCTTTCATTGCTGATGAGTCGAAAACCATCCTGGGGACGGACGTCACTATTGGCTCTGTATGCTCTGGCGACAATGGTTTAGCTCGTTGCAACTTTGATTACTCTCAACCCGCGGTCCAGCAATGGCATAACTCCGTTGTGAATCAGTTTGCCTCTTGGTAAGTCCAGACCAACATTATATCAAAGTCATTCGACGCTAAGACAGTAGTAAAAAGGGGGGTCGATCTTATCAAGTTGGATTTTGTTACACCAGGCTCTCCGTCGAATGGCGCAAATCTGCCTCCTGATTTAAGCGGCGAGGTCATCGCATACCACACGGCTATTGCGCAGTCGGGGCGGAAGATTCGCTTAGATATTTCGTGGAAACTGGACCGGTCGCAGAAATACTTTGACATCTGGGAGACTAACGCCGACTCGATGCGAACGGACCAGGACATCAACAACGGAGGACAGTCCACATTCGTATCCTGGAATACCGTCCAACGGGCCATCGACAACTATAGGCAGTACATTACCACTGTAATGCAGTACAATACGACTCTGACAATATACCCTGACATGGACAATCTCTTCGTGGGCAACCCCGCCTCAGTCTCGGGGGTCACAGACGACGAGCGCCAGACCATCATGACACACTGGATCGGAGCCGGTGCGAATCTCATCATCGGGTCTGACTTGACCAACCTCGATGGCATCGGGCTCAACCTCCTAACCAACTCGGATGCGATCGCGATCGCAGATTTCACCGCGCATCACCCAATTCAGCCCCGCAACCCAGGAACCGGAAACGATGGCTCAGAGCAACTTCAGGCCTGGATTGCCGGTCCTGATGAGTCGGGGGCGGCAGTAGTAATCATTGCGAACTACGGTCCAGACCAAGGACAGGGCGGCTTCGGAACCTCTTTAACGGGTACGCATACCGTGAATGTGTCTTGGAGTGATCTGGGAATCAGTGGCTCATTTGACGTTCATGATGTATGGGCTGGTAAAGATCTAGGTGCCGAGAGTTCCGGCCTCAGTGTACAACTTGGCGAAGGCCAGAGCGTCCTTTACAAGCTCAGCCGATCATGAAGTAGGAGTCACTGGTGACTTCGTTCAATCTCAGGGCTGGAAACTGAGTCAGAACAGACGACCTATAGAATAGCACAGTTATGTTATATAGCTTAGAATAAGCAGCAGTTGTTATTGACAGTTCGTGATATCTTCCAGTTCCGCTATAGCATCACACTGAGAGAAAAGGTATTTCGCGACACCGATAAGATACGGGAAATTGTCCTCGAATATATTCCCAAGTTAAGGTAAAGGAGATTCCGTACGAGTTTTAGAAGGACGGAGTTAGAGGTTTCAAAATAGTGTCTTCTGACTCAGAGCGGAGTGATTTCGATGTCGTAAAAAATAAAAATAAAAATAGAAAAGATTAAGACCGAGATTTATGATCACAAAGTCAAAAAAAGGTACTGGAACCAATCAGGGAACCGCACATAAGGGGCTCAACCGGGAATTGAACCCGGGACCTCTCGCATTCTTCTTTCAGAATGAAGTCCCGAAGCGAGAATCCTACGACTAGACCATTGAGCCGGTTAAAACCGCGTTCCTTATGCATGTTCATATAGTATTTGTTACTGTCTGGACCCACTTATAATTGGGGGTTAGTGGCGCCGCATCATGGATGAGACGGTGCATGTGCTCTTAGACGAAAGCCAAAGTCATACGTAACTTCGCGTGACCAAAGTACACCTCGTAAATTCGCACAACGCGACTTCGTTTTTGTTCTTACTTCATCTAGCTTTCTGGCGCACTCCAACCCAATTCATGTCTTGTTTCCACGTAGCTTGCCTTTGTGGACAATCATTTTCTGTGTGCTAGCTTTTGTTGTGCACGGAGTTATGAGTCTCTACAAAGACAGATTCCCAATCGATAGCTAATGGTACTTACTTAGGAGGTAGAGAACAGGGTTCCCCGGTTTTATTTTTAAATACTGTACAATTAAATACAAACGAGACTCAACGTTGAAACCGACATCGACGACGATGCTTTATTTGGTTGACTTCACCTAGCTCTACCTACGTAAGATCATGTTTCTTTCAGGGTTTCTAGGTGCGCCGTCTGCACGGAGAGGCTCGTTCAAGTCGAGCAAGTCCAAGTCGTCCAGACGTTCTCCTGAAGTCTCGCCATCTCGCTCCCGTTATATCGATTCCTCATCCCCCGAATACCTCTCGGATGAGTCGCAGCTCCAACCCGTCGTCCAACCGCCCACAGATGTCCTTGATCTGAACAATAACCTTGAAATGCTCGCCGGCCTGTTCCCCGATATCCAAGTCGAAGTGTTCAGAGAAATGCTTGCATCCTTTTCTGAGGAGTCCCGACTGTTCATCATCACGGATAAGCTGCTGAAGAACCCTGGCGAATTTGTAAAGGGGCGGCGGAGGACGAGTGATCGAAGTAGTTCCGACTCGAATACTCTAGTCCCGCGGACCGAAGCCTTCAGGACGGGAGAATACAAGGACGCGGTACGGACCCTGGCGATGCAGGAATTCAAAGGCCTATCTAAATCCTCCATCGATGCTGTTTTGTCCGAATCCAATTACTCCTATCTCGACGCGCGACCGACCCTCGTAGACCTATCTTCCAAGTCGTGGAAGTTTACAATCTCTTCTCTCCTCTTTCGTCGCAAACCCGTTACCTCGACCGAGGCAGAAACACATCCCCTTATTACGTGGAGGTCTTCCGACGATGGGACTATGGTGCCGACTTTAAAGGCAACTGGCAGCGCCGAGTTGGATAGGGAACTATTCGAGGAATTGATCATGCCATTAAAACAACGCGAGCAACTATTAAGGGAGGAGAACGACCGCGCCTTTGCGCTCTCCCTAGTCACAGAGGAGGCCGAAGCCTGCGAAGCGACTTTCGAGTGTTCTTGCTGCTATGGAGACGTCGTCTTCGAGGAGCTCACCACTTGTGGCGTGGATGGGCATTTGGTATGTTTTAGCTGCGTCCGACATTCTATCAGCGAGGCCGTCTTCGGACAGGGTTGGCAACGTAGCATCGACAAAGAAACGGGCGCTCTTCGATGCCCTGCCGTTGCGTCGGTGGAGTGCCACGGTTGTGTATCGTCCGAGCATATCCAGCGAGCTATGCGAGGGGAGAAGAACGGAGATGAGATCCTGCGCAAACTTGACCAACGTTTAGCAGAACACGGTCTACTATCCAGTGGCTTGCCCCTCGTCCGGTGTCCATTCTGCAGTTATGCGGAGGTCGATGATCTATATATGCCAGCTAACACATCCAAGCTCAAGATTCGCGCCAGCAACATTCCAAACGTTATCCTGCTCCTCCTTTGCTTAATTCTTTCGCCATTCTCTTTACCTATATTGATCCTAACGCTCGTTTGTGTCGTACTCTGCTTGAATTCGTCATTTCGGGATTATGTATCTTGGCATCTGAGAGCAGCCCTCAGCCGGTACCAGCGTCGCCGTCGTGGCTTGAAGTTCACTTGCCAGAACCCTGCCTGCGCTCGTTCGTCCTGTCTGTCATGTTCAAAAGCTTGGGTGGACATTCACGTCTGCCACGAGTCGTCTCTCGTTGCTTTGCGCACACAGGTTGAGCAAGCAATGTCAATGGCCATCAAGCGTGTCTGCCCCAAATGTCATACGTCGTTTGTCAAGACAGCCGGATGCAACAAACTAACTTGTCCCTGCGGTTATAAGATGTGCTACGTCTGTCGCAAAGATATCGGTTCGCTGAATGAAGGCTACCAACACTTCTGCCAACACTTCAGACCGGAGGGCGATGGCCGAAGATGTAAAGAGTGTGATAAGTGTAACCTATGGGAAGCCGAGAATACCGAGGAAATCCTCCGAAAGGCCAAGGAAGAGGCAGAGCAGAAGTGGAAAGAATCGGAAAGACGCGAGCTCTCCGACGCGGAGAAGACATATCTCGAGGAAGGCGTTGGCAGCTTTGATCGAGGTAGAGGTCTAGGACAATTGCTTTTGAGTGGCGGTAAACTCCCAAGTGTCGAGGAATTTTGTGATTTTATAATAGAAACTATATTCGTATGAGAGGAGCGGTATGAGGCGGGCGCGGCGTTTTTGGTTCAAGGAGCATATCCGACTGCTAAGGGAGCAGAGCACCGTTCTGAAGTCATCTTTCGAAGCGAGCATCACAATGGGGACTGGCGCACTGGAAAATACGGGGATGCAAAACAAAGATCGGGAAAGGAGTGCATATGTTATACCCATTGGCAGCATTATACATGCAACGACTCATCGCTGGCTATAGCCGCTAGTAATATATTGTAAACATTTCTGTTAGAAACACTAGGTACGAACATGATAGTCCAACCCGTTGGTTCCTAAATCTAGTATGTAGAAACTCGTATTGAGTATATGAATGTCACAGCATCTCAACTGGAAGAAAGCAGCATTCCTCTGGTTCTCTATCATGAACCTTAGTTAGTAGTCCTGGAGAAATCATTTGACGCACCAATTATCTACAAAGCATATAACATTTCAAACTAAGATCGATAACGCCTCTAGACACAGACAGAGACCCTTTGAGAACCACGTTCTTAGAGGCAACGTAACGACCATTGTGAAATGCTGACATATATATCCAAAGCCGTACTCGACGAGTTACTGTACCTGTCACATAGCCCCGGTTCACCTGTGTTGCTACGTATGTAACTAACGATGAAAACCCACTTGTATTCATGCTTAGATCCATCCATCCCGTATGAACGAATCAGGGCTCTTCGAAACTATAGGATCTTCTAATATAGACGCCCAGTCAATGAAAAAAAAACTCCCCATGCAAAGTGTAAAAGTGCTGCTCCTATCGTTTCACAATAGCCCACGCCCATCTCTCATATCACATCACACCACCCTATACCATATTATTTCAACCCGATTCTCGATCCCTATAGCTTACAATTTCCCGCCGGCCCTTCCACCCTCCAGCAGCTCGGCCGCGGCGCCCGAGATGGCCAGCTTGCCGGTCTCCTTGACCTTGGCCTGGAAGACGACCTTGGAGGGGCCCTCCTTCCACATCTCGGTGACGAGGGTCTGACCGGGGAGGACGGTGCCGGCGAAGCGCACCTTGATGTTCTTGAACGGGCCGAACTTCTCGTACACGGCCTTGCCCGAGATGCCCATGAAGCAGAGCCCGTGCAGGATCGGCACCTTGAACCCGCCCATCTTGGCGAATCCGGGGTCGATGTGCAGAGGGCTGCGAGGAAATCATTGGTTAGCTAGGGGTTGAGAAGGCGGGGAGGAGCCGAATAAAACTTACTTGTAGTCGCCGCTCAGTCGGTAAATAGCAGCCTGCTCCTCGGTCGTCGGGGACTCGACGACGACATCGGGGTGCCTCTTCGGCGGGGCGTTAGCTGCAGTAGCCGCGCCTCGGTCCGCAGGCTTCTTCTGGCCGCCAAAACCGCCGCAACCCCTCAGGAAGACAGTGGCCTCGTTGTAGAAGAGTTCCTCGTTGTTCTCGGCATTGACGGTGGTAACGCCGTACTTGAGGATAGCAGCGTTGCCCTTGTCCACGACCTCGATGAGCTTACCGTAGTTCTTGGTCTTGGCCGCCGTCGGCACTGGGTACTTCTTGACCTCGAGGTACTGCTCTCCGTGTAACAGCATCATGGGCGAGAAGTTGGGTACCACCTCGTCCATGCTGAACGGCATATTGGTGTCGAACTGCGGGATCACGCCGAATGTCGGCAGGACCTGGAAGTTATCGGCGCCCTCAAACACATACTGTAATTCGGTCCTCTTAGCACCGATACCCAGGTTGTAGAGTATGCTATCACGGTCCGTGTAGACAAATTCCGTTGGCTCGGACTTTGCGGCTAGAGCTTTGCTTTGGGCTTCTAGATACTTGTTGCTGGCAGAGGATCCCTGAATGAGAACGGCGTGTTAACGTGGACATTTCATTCATACACTAGACTATATAACACGATGTATATATGTACATGATAGTTGAAATAAGGGCATCAAGGAAAGAATAAGGGCTCATCATACCTTGGATGCCCCTCGCTTATTCTCCATGTTGGCCATGACCTTTCCTAGCTGGTCTTGTGTCTTCTCGGGGTGGTCCGCTCGGCCGTCCTCGAAATCGACAATCTTGGCCCAGTTCTTGGCAACCTCTTCGGGGACCAGCTTGACATCCACCGGGAAACCAACACCGCCAGATCGCTGCCACCTTGTTCGACCGCACCAGCCGCTGCCTACTTCGTACAGACCACCACTGGGATTTGTAGGGACCTTGTCGCTGCAGAGGGCAAGGACAAGGGGGGCGATGTAGTCGGGCTTGAAGGCCTGTACTAATTCCTCGGGTAATATAGTACGTGTCATGGCGGTTCCAGCGTTAGGCGCAATGGTGTTACAGTAGATGTTGTATTTGGCGCCCTCGAGAGCGATCGTACGAGAGAATCCAAGAATACCACATTTCTGCGAGATGTTAGCTTTAATTATCATATACCGTCGTCTTTATTTGCCGTTACTTACAGCTGCGGCGTAGTTGGCTTGGCCGAAGTTGCCGTAGATACCACTAGTGGACGTGGTGTTCACGATACGGCCGTACTT